TTCTATCAACCATTGGAGAATGTTGCAAATAGCACGAAGTATCTGCATGTTGCACATCCAACGTAGAAGTCGCAGAAGGCAAATTTATGCTTCTCTTTCTTGAAATCTCGATCGCGTCTAAACCATCACTGATACCATTATCGTCATCACCTTCTGCAATGTCCGAATGTCTATTATGCATCGGTTGTTTCCTAACATAAATAATGAATAAGTAAGTGATAAAAAAAGCAGTAAATTTGGCAAATGAGGCAAATGATCATGGCAAGAAATAAAATACATTTGAATCCGGTGTTCCTTGCGTATTCTTATTCTAACACCTTGATCCGAAAAAGATCTTGATAAAAAAGTAGATTCAGACATTCCAGGGAACGTCTTTGGTGAATACACATCAAATATATCAGACAAGATCGATTGTATATGAACAACCTCGTTACTATTCAATGTATTCAATGTAGATCATTAAGATTAAGCAAATTGGAATAATAATGATTTATGCAATTTATGCAATATAGAATTCACATAAAATGAACAAGAAATATAACATACTTTATAATTTCGAATAAACTAAATCGTAAGCGATAACGACCCTCAATTCGCACGGATATGTCACCAAATACAAAAAAGCCGCCATCTGAAGGTTACAAATTAGAATGAGAAAGTTAGTTAATTAGTTAATACAGGATCATTAGTTATCATTAGTCAAGGGATAAACAAAAGATCAAGGACAATAAACGTACCGGAATTATCAATGTCTTTGAGTTTGTGAAGAGAAGAAACTATAGTACCGGCAAGATATTTAGACGAAATTGCGAAATGGTCACTATTATTAGAGGGATGAACAAGATTTGCACACATAAAATAATATGGACTCTGAAGGTAATTCCTTTAAAAAAGTAAATAGAAAAAAAATGAATACAAACTTAAGAATAATGAAAAGATAATGAAAAGATAATGAATAAATTAATAGTTATTTAAAACTTACTGTGCTTCATCACCACAACTATCCACTTTGAATTGAATAATTGGAGGAGGATCAACAGGTCTTCGATCTGAATTAATATGAATTAATAAATTAAATTAGATAACTCGTTCCAGGAATGATTTAACAATGAAACACTCGTGGGATTTCTTACCTCGTTCTTTTAGACTACATAATCGAGCCTGTTTTGGCTGTTGCCGTATAATGAGACGATATTGTGTGCTAATTATATAAAGGATAAAGAAAACGCGTTTCACAGCATATAAAAAAATTAATGATTATAATATATTTTGTCGAAATGAAAATAGAATCGCGAAGAATAGATAAACGTAAATACCTATCAAACGGTCTATGTTCATTTGAGGTACTTACAAAATTGTACGTGTTTAATACGTTTGTATTCCTTGACATTGTAAAATCCGTAAGACAAAAGTAATTACAAAGTGTATGGTGATATTCGGAGCAAAGTTCCGGAATTCACAAGTTTAAAACGTTAAATATAGTTTAATTACTAATACTAGTATTCAAGACTAGTATTATTAGGAAATTTTATTTTTAGTTTCGTAACGGTTAGACAACCAGTAAAGGAAACAAGAGTGGAAATTGTGAATAACGAATGTTATGAGGTCGTAATAACAGTTGTATAAGTGAGAGTGGATGCTATAAAAATGATTATAGACTTTAAAATACACGAATAACCAAACAGACTTCAAAAAAAAAAAAAAAAAAAAAAAAAAACAAAAAAAAAAAAATAAATTAAAAAAAAAAAAAAAAAAAAGAAAAAAAAAAGAAAAAAATCGAAAAAAAGAAAGAAAAAAAAAAAGTGAGTCTACCAATTATATATAAA